GTCCATCCACCACTCAGGTGAAAGACAAACTGAAAGAACAAAAGGCAAAGAATTACCATACCCAGATGTTCCTCCTCCAGTCTCGCTAATCATCATGTTTGCTAATTTCTTTTCTTGCTTATATTTGCGGTCTGGGCACGCACTTGCCCAATGCTCATCACTCCCGCAAATAAAGCAACCTCCACCTTTCTTGTTATTTTTCTTCTTAAACTGTGCAGTTTGCTTAGGCTTTGCATTGTTGTTCTCTTGCATGTTCTTCTTCTTTTTATTACAAGATGCAAATGAGTTTTTCTTCTGCACCATATTGGCAGCGGAAGACTCAACTCCTTTTCAACGGTTGTCTTTTGCTCTCACCCACTCCTCAACATCAAGAGATCCAATAAGCTCAGCCACGCTAAACTCTTGTCTCTTGTGTTTTAGAGAAGTAGCAAAATCCCTCCAAGAAGGTGGCAGCTTAGCGATTATACCGCCGGCCACAAACTTATCGGGCAACAAACATGGGAAATGTTCTAGTTCCTTCACTAGCGCCTATATCTCATGAGCCTATACGGCCACAGAACGGTTTTCAACCATTTTGTAGTCATACAGCTGCTCCATAAGGTACAACTTACTGCCAGCATCAGAAACCCCAAACTTTGCCTCAAGAGCATCCCATAACTCTTTGCCTGATGTACAAGATATGTAGTTTTTCTCATACTTGGGATGAAGTGCACTAATCACGGCGCCTCGAAATAGGTTATCGGCAGCCAAGAACTTTTGCTCCTCCTTAGGAGTAAACTGTTCAGTCTTCCCATGTGCAACGTGATAGCAGTTCATCGCAGTCAACCACAATACCATCTTGGCACACCATATCATGAAATTCTTGCCATAAAAAATTATTTCGCTTCAAAGCAACAGAAAAACCACTGACAGAAAATTGCCTAACATTAGGTTTTTGGAATGTTAGATATTTAGGCATTTTCATTATCAGTTTAATCAAGAAAATTAACATCAGTAGGTTCATGATAGCATATATGTGCATGTGTATATCTCTAATGAACACTACAGCATGCAGAGATGATATACAGATGAATATAGTAGCAGCGAGTACAGTAATCATAGAGATTAGAATATACCCAGTGGAGGGTCCCATACCGAGGGCATCGGAGGCTCCATTCGCACTAGTCGACATAATGCGTTGCTCGAAGTCGCGGACCATAGTCGATGTAGGACAATGTTTGCAGTGCAGTCCCATGAATGGATCACCAGAAAGAAGATAGCTTGCGGTTCCATTGGCAATCACCAGGAAGAAGATGGGATCTGCCACGAGGAAGAAGGCGTACGTGGACGAGTAGTCGTGGATTGCTCCCCAAAAACCTAATCGCCGCGCACCCCATGCAAGATTCTCTGGCGGACGAGGGTTCCGGAGGCACCTTCTCTCCCGCTACTTCGTGCGTGTAGAGGTACAGGACGGGGAAGACAGAAGGCCACTGAAATGTGGATTCTCTCGGGAGCAGTTGTGGAAGATAGGATCTGGACTGACGGAGGACTACGACAGACGGAAGGGACGAAGGCAGCGGAGAATCCCAGGAGACGGGAAGCAGAATGGACGGTAACTGAAGCAGTCAGTTTAACTCCACAATCAAAGGGAGAAACTCCTATAATTATGTAGAATAAGTGGCAAAAGACTGTGCATGCAGAGGTACGGGACGGGGAAGACAGAGGGCTGCTGAAATGTGGATTCTCCCCGGGAGCGGTTGCGGAAGATAGGATCTAGACTGATAGAGGACTGCGACAGACAGAAGGGACGAAGGTAGCGGAGAATCCCAGGAGACGGGAAGCGGAAGGGACGGTAACTGACGCAGTCAGTTCGCCTCCACGATCAAAGGGTGAAACTCCCATAATTACGCGGAATAAGTGGAAAAACACTGGCCACGCCCACCCGCTCGCTCGCCGCCGGCCCGCCACGCCACGCCACGCCCACGCCCACGGCCACGGCTATGGCCTGGCCGGCGGCGGTGGCGGCGCGCGCGCGTGTGGCACGCTTTTGTCCTTTTCTCAACTTCTCAATTAAGATGAATAATTTCCAACCATATAAGCTGAGTCAACGTTGAGTCAAAATCCCGTATGGTATTAAACCATACAACGCTTATTGTTACAGACCAAAGAGTTTTATTTGATTTATTAAATATTATATGGGCCAAGCCCACAATATATCCAACAGAATATGAGATGTATGGATCGTATGTATCTTGTCCGCTAGGGGACCCCTGCCTCTCCTTATATACTCTAGGGGTAGAGTTATAAGGAAAGTAGCCTATTTGGTACTATATAATAGCTTATGGTACACGCCGAGCAGCACCGTGCTTGCCTTGATCTTGTGGGCTAGGGCACCTCTGATGGTGTGGTCCATGTCTTGTCTTGTGTATACTGGGGGCCACACCCCCACAGCTAGTCCCCGAGCCTGATAGTAGGTGACGTAGTCATGTGGTGCTAGGGTCAGAAAGTAGAAGACCGGTTGAGCAGGTAGCCAGTCCCGGCGTAGACTTGAGATGAGAAAAACGCATATTCACCGCAAGGTGAAGTGTGCCCACTTTGTCCCCAAGCCTACTGGAAGATGAAGAATGAATCTTATAGCAGGGTCAAAGAAAAAGAAGTCTGAAAGCTTTGCCGACGTCATTCGACATGCGCGTATCAAGACCCAAGATGTGCTGCCCAAGATCAGCACCCTGATCCGAACAGCATGGAGCAGCTTGATAGCACACTGATGAGACGTAGCAAGATCCGACCACCAAGGGCGATGTCCAAGCACCGAGGAGTCCCTGGCGTAAGCGGTGATGTCCGAGCACCGAGGATTTCTCGGTGAAGCTGGCGATGTCCGAGCAGAGAGAAGTCCCCGGCGTAGTTGGCGATGTCCAAGCACTGAGGAGTCCCCGACATAGCTAACGATGTCCGAGCACCGAGGAGTCCCCGGTGTAGCTGGTGATGTCCGAACACCGAGGAGTATCCGGCAAAGCTGGCGATGTCCGAGCACCGAGGAGTCCCCGACGTAGCTGGCAATGTCCGAGCACCGAGGAGTCCCCGGTGTAGCTGGCGACGTCCGAGCACCGAGGAGTCCCCGACGTAGCTGGCGACGTCCAAGCACCAAGGAGTTTCCGGCGTAGCTGGCGATGTCAGAGCACCGAGGAGTCCCGGCGTAGCAGGCGATGTCCGAGCACCGAAGAGTCCCCGGTGTAGCTGGCGATGTCCGAGCTCCGAGGAGTCTCCCTTCGAGGCTGGCGAGGTCCGAGCACCGAGGTATCCCCGCCGCAGCTGGCGATGTTCGAGCACCGAGGAGTCCCCGGCGCAGCTGGAGACGTCCGAGCAGCGAGGAGTTTTCGGTGTAGCTGGCGATGTCCAAGCACCGAGAGTCCCCGACGCAGCTGACGATGTCCGAGCACCGAGGAGTCCTCAGCACAGCTGGCGACGTCCGAGCAGCGATGAGTTTTCGGCGTAGCTGGCAATGTCCGCAAGGTAAAGTGGGGTGAAGTGTGCCCACTTAGTCCTCGAGCACGAAGAATCCGAGGGTCGAGGAGTAACCGACGTAACTGGCAATGAAGCACGAGCGACGAACAGTCTGGTCAACTGGTCGGCGGCGAAGTGAACATTGAGTAGAAGCGACCGACGAATAGTCCGATCAACTGGTCGGCGATGAAGTCGATGAACCAAGCGGTCCGACCAGTTGATCGGTGGAGAAGTCCGAACACCAGGTGATCCGATCACCTGAACGATGATCCTGCAATACAAATATGTAGAACAGGTAGTACATGATGTAAAAATATATGAACTCCGGAGAAAAAAAATAACGTATGTAGCTCGACGATCAGTTGGTGTGAAGATATAATTATATTTAATATAAATCGTCCGACCAGTTAGTGTGTAGCTGAGTCTTCAGCCCTAGCTTGCCTATTAACCATAACGTCGAGCGCGGAGCCCGTGCACGTGTAGGAGGAATAGGCGTGACCAAAAAGCGGCTGCCAACCACCCATAACGCAGAGGGCAGACGCTCATGCACGTGTAGGGAGGAGTCGGAGACAGGGCCATCTCTGGAGACGTCCGAGCATCAACATGACTGTTCGGGGGGTTCGGAAAATCGTTTGGAGAGCAAACATGGAGAAAATAGCTTGGAGAAACATTATGGCAATATACGGAGATTGAAGAATATTTGGAAGAATATTAAAGCGTGACTTAGCTTTAGACAGAAAGTCTGGTCGGCGGCGTACGGCGTTATCTGGTCGGCGTTAACGGCGAGCACCTAGCGGGCGGTGTGTTGTTGGTGAAGACGATCTTGGAGGTGGTTCCGAGATCGGATCTGCTATCGCGGGGGCTGGTGTAGCCAGCGATGAATCGTCGTCGTGGACCGACATGGATCTCCATGAGATTGATGACGAGAACGCGCTGTTGATTTGAGGTCCATCTGGCTCGCCATGGGATCAAGCGCACACCCCTACCTATCATGCCAACTGTCGACAAAAGATGCTCGGCAGTCCACCGAGGGGTATCCCGCGATGGTAGATTTATCGGTGGAGGTGCGCGTGATCAGGAACCGGATGGTAATACAAGCACCAAGACACAAGATTTAGATAGGTTCGACCGTTAGTACGACGTAATACCTACATCCTCTGTTCTGATGTATTGAATATGAGATGTATGGATCGTATGTATCTTATCCGCTAGAGGACCATGCCTCTCCTTATATACTCTGGAGGGATAAGGTTACAGAGAAAGTAGTTTATTTGGTACTATACAATAGCTTACGGTGCACGCCGAGCAGCGTCGTGCACGTCTTGATCTTATGGGCTGGACCACCTCTAATGATACGGTCCATATCTTGCCTTATGGATACCAGGGGCATACCCCCCATATCGGCGGTGGCCGCATCGGAGGGCATCAACAAGATCGTGACAGGTAAGCTCGTGGAGTTGTCGGAGAACGAGCTGATCGACTGCGACCACAACAGCCATGGCTGCAACGGCGGACGCATGGATTACGCTTTCCAGTGGGTTATCAGCAATGGCGGGATCGACACCGAGGCCGACTACCCCTTCACCGACGTGACGGCACTTGTGATGCCAACAAGGTCGGTACGGTACTGTCATGATATAAGTAATTAAGTTTCTGTTTTCTGCAGTAAATTTGCATGAACACCTAACCTGCTCGCTGCTTCGATGGTGATGGATATTTGTACATGTTTTGTTATGTAGATAAAAAGAAGGTTGTGTCCATAAATTCGTACAAGAGGGTGTTGCCAGCCAACAATGAGAAGGCGTTACAGGCGGCGGTGGCCAATCAGCCTGTTAGCGTCGCCATCGAGGCAGTCGGCCGTTCGTTCCAGCTCTATAAATCGGTAAAAATAAAAAACGTCGCTTATAATGCACGCCACGACTAGGGAAACAACATGCATATAGGCCATCTGTTTATTTATTTAGAGAATGTATTTTGGGAAACTCATTCGAAACAGCCTAGCAACTTTGCCCCTCCCCCTGCCCTCAACTTTATTTCTACTCACACACACACGACAGGGTGTCTTCGACGGCGTATGCGGGGCGAAGCTAGACCATGGTGTCACAGCGGTGGGCTATGGCAGCGAGAATGACAAGGATTACTGGATCGTGAAGAACTCGTGGGGCGCTAGCTGGGGCGAGGCCGGCTACATCCGCATGAGGTGCAACATGGCCGTGTCCACAGGCAAGTGCAGCATCGCCACAGATACCTACTACCCAGTCAAGAATCGCCCCAGGGCGGAGTCGGCGGACAGGACCGCACAGTCTGTGCTAGAGCTAGAGATGGTTCTGGTGTAAACATGCAGGTCATCCACATCACATGTGAAATGCCCCCCCTTGCTATTGATTGCCTGATACACTAGTTGATGCTGGTGTTGAATTGTTGATTGTGGAATATCAAATCTACACCTGGCATCTTTTGCCCCACGCGTACATGGTGTGTACGTATACGAACATAACAAAGATATCAATAAGGCTTTGTGTAGTAAATACACTTATATATACTCTATTTTGTGAGTGAGATAATACCATATGTAACATAAATTAAATAAATAAACTTAGCTCATTTGCGAGGGGTAATGCAAGGAACGGTTATGTACTAAGTAGTTGTTTGAGCTTTGACTATACATCAATCATCTGTGGGTTTTCTCTCTTTTTTAACGTGAGTACGTGTTAGTCCATCTTCATCATTTTCCCACTCATTTTTTATTTATTTATACAATGAAATGAGTTTTGATTCATCACCATTATATTCCTAACAAGCTAATAATTAATATTAGTATAAGGAATGGAGTACTAATTTCACCAAATTCTAGGCTCATCACAAGTTAGCATACATATTCCCTCCACCTAAAAAATACAAATCTTGTTTTCCGAGTAGTAAATCAATCTCAAGTTATACTAAGTTTATTGAAACCAATTTCAACATATGTATCCCCAAAATAGGTTTATTAAAGAAATATATATTTCATAATTAATCTAATAATACTTATTACACATCTTAAATGTTAGTGTTTAGTATATATTTGATGAAACATAAGATTGATTAAATCCTCGACTGTATTTATGTTTTGTCCATCCATGACTACAAATCATCATCAATTACATATGTTCTTTTGTTGGGAGCGCTACATCTACATCTTTATGTCATGCCCTTGTTTTTTTGAGGGAAATTATGTCTTGTCCTTGTTATTGTGATGCTTTAGCTTCTAATCTATTTTATGTGCGATGCAGTTGTAAGCTCTCAATGAATATTCTTTTATACCTTTAATCTTTTTTTTTTAAATAAAGCAAATTTTATGTGCGATGCACTTGTAAGCTCTCAATATCCTTTTGTACCTCTAATCTTTATCTTTTTAAAAATAAAGCAAATGAGCTAAACGTGGGTTGAATCAGAAGTAGGGATGTAAGTGGGATAGCCCACAAATCCGTATATAGGTTTAATTTTGTGGGTTGTCGTGCAAAATTATATATCCATTCTTGATCGTGACTGAGCTGAGTGAGGATGATGGTGACTCTTGTAATAATTTTAGTCTGATTCTGCGATGAAAAACGATATTTTTTCCATTATCTTAAAAAAGTACGAGCCTCTACGCGGCGTGGGTCCACTTGGCATTGGCATGCTAGGATATTTATCACCTCCAGTGAGGCGGCGAACTAACCCAATCCGCTCGAGTCAAACAAGTTCAAACTTAAGAGATCGTCGACAACCTCACCAGTCCACAACCGCCAATTGCACAAGTGTGGCTAATTCACGAGACAAATCTATTAAGCCTAATTAATCCACGATTAACCCATGCAATGCCACAATAAACATATGATAATCAATGCTTAATTAGGCTTAATAGATTCGTTCGCGAATTAGCCACAACTTATGTAATTAGTTTTATAATTAGCTCATATTTAATTCTCCTAATTGATATCTAAATATCTGATATGACAGATACTAAAGTTTAGTCATGTGATCAAGCACCCCCTAAGTCGAGAACAATCTTATAGTTTCTTTCTGATCGAGGCCGGTTTGGTCCGGACCGCTGTTCGCCCGCCCATAAGCAAATCGGGTCAGGGATCACGGGCAATTATCCGTAACCCGTCCAGGATCCGCTAGGCGGAACCGCCCCCGAGCCCCGACGGGCGTTTCACTGGCCACGAATAAACTTGGGTTAATTAGATCTATGTCATTATAATTTTCGATGTTTGGAGAAACGCCATTACTATTCGTCTATTTTGAAGCATGTCATTATAATTCTATGTTTCCCACAAAAATGCCACTGAATATGTATGGACACAGCCTGGGCCCAGCTGCAGGCGTATACAAAGATGTATACTTCATCTCCCCTGTCACTGACACACGGGCCCCACATGTCATCTTCTTCCTCTCCTCATCTCTCTCTCCGGCTCTCTCTCTCTCTCCATCCCGACGCAGCTGCGGGCTTGTGGGTGAGCCGACGAGCCGCTGTCGTCACCCCACGCGCCACGGGCGAGCAGCCGACGACGGGAGCGCCATAGCCGAGCAGCAGGACGTAGCCGGTGCGGAGCTCGCCTCCCGGCGGCGCTTGAGCCGAGGACGCTGCTGGCGCTGGAGCTCATGCTTTGCTGCTTTGGCCGAGCGTCTTCTTCTTGCTGCTTCATGATGGTGTCTTCCTCTCTGTTCTCTCCCGTGCACACTCTGCACATGGCTTGCTCGCCAGCGTGGGCTTGGAGTTGAGCTAGGGGCCATGGGATACGCTGGGGAGAGATGCAAATGGAGAAGGAGCTCACCACGACGCCGATGGTGGGCTTCTTGTCATCAAATGCTGACCGGAGAGGGAGGGAGCCGAGGCGAGGCGGATGGCAACTCCGGCGAGCTCGCGGCGAAGGTGTTGCTGGCGTGGGTTGATGCGAAGGAGCGGTTTCATGGACTCGTAGTGCCTCTGCGAACTCGACGGCGGAGGAAATGAGGTCGGAGGCGGTCAGAGCGCGGAGAACAGCGAGCTCAAACCGAGGTCGACAATGGAGGCTGTGCCGGCGGAAATGGGTGCTGGAGAGTGGGGAAGGGCTCGGGTAGTGGTGGAGTGGTGGAGGCGTGTGCTCGCAGTGCCGAGGCCCAGCTTATATAGGGCAGAGAGGGAGCGAAGAGGAGCTGGTCGCGAGCTCAAAGGCATGCCGCCCATGGCGGCTGCGATTGGTGCGCCCGAGTGTCGATGTTTGACCACCGATAGCCTACCACGGGGGTCCCTCGGGGCAGTATGTTCGGGCTTCAGCTATATGGAACTCGATGGTGAATGCAAGAGACAGTCGATTTATCCTAGTTCGGGCCCTCGACCGTGATCGAGTAATAGCCCTACGTCTAGTCGGCGTTAGCCTTTGTGTTGGATTGATTGTTGAGTGTTGTAAAGTTCTTCCTTTCCAGGAACTCCGCCCTCCTTTATATAGTCAGGAGGCCAGAGTCCTAGTCGGTTTATAATGAGAGTTCCTAGTAGGATTACAGAATAATAATACTACTACTAGGATTACATGAAAAGAATCCTAGTTAGACTAGATCTTCCTTCTTCCTTGCGGGGTATCCCGTGGGTCCCGCATTGACAAGCCCCCGAGCACTTTATGGTTGAGCTCTAGAAGCCTCGTCTTATTCCTTTAGGTCTTGCCGAGTAGAAATAAGCGTCGTCCGAGTGCTTTCTTGAGTAAAACCATATAGCGCTTCCTAGGATCTTCGAGTGGTGTGTGCCTTTTTGAAGAAAAAAGCACATCCAGCTGGGTATAGCCCCCGAGCCTCTTGCTATTTGGAACAAGTAGCTGGAGGGTCTTGTCTTAAATTGATCTGATCCTTCGCCGAAGGGTAGCCGGGTATACCCGGGTTCTTTATAAAAAGAACTCAGATATATCGTGAGGTCTTGAAGTGGTCTTCTTGGTGACGTGTGTTTTTTTGAAGAAAAAAGTGCACTCACTGAGTGTAGCCCCCGAGCCTCTTGCTATTTGAAACAAAAAGTTAGAGGGTCTTGAATCCTATGTTGTTTTACAACTCTTGTCTTGAAGAAGTAAAGTGCACTCACTGAGTGTAGCCCCCGAGCCTCTAGCTATTTGGAACAAAGAGTTGGAGGGTCTTGAATCTAAGTTGTTCAAATAACTGAAAACTTCCCCTGTTGCAGCCCCTGAGCATTATTCAAAAAGAACTCGGATACAGAATCTTGGCATATTATCTGGTAGTCTGCTGTTGTTAGATGTAGAGTCTGCTGCTTTCAGATGTAGAGTCTGCTGCTTTCAGATGTAAAGTCTGTTGTTGTCAGATGTAGTTGTATGGTGGTGGTTGAGTGTAAATGCCTTTTGTTCACAGGTTATACAGTGTTAGTATATTCTCCCGAATATGCTTGTTGTTGAGTACTGTTCCTTCACACCTGAGTTCTCTTTCATTGAATTCTGTCTTTTCACCGTGTCCTTCGTTAGGTTTGTTCCGCTGGTGCTCCTGGTCCATGTGCCCCGCTTCTTTGATCTATAAATATCCTCCTTGTGTGCTGTTTTGATTCATCGAGCACTTTGTTGCGTGGTCTGAAATCTCCGTAGTCATGAATATGATAGTTTGTGAAGTAAAGCAGTCCCCGGGCGTATTTTGTAGTTCTTGTACATCTTGTCGTAGCTGGAGGAAGTCTTGTGATAGGGATTAGAGGTAGACTAATCTCACAGCAGCATTGCTCCGGGAAGTATGTGGCAGTAGTTGGAGGAAGTCTTGTGATGTGGGATACGTTCCTTCATCCAGCAGTTCTGGGTTGATCCTCGTCGCCTGTCCTGAGACTGTCCGGTGCAGATCAACACCACATCTAGTATCACATCAGACTTGCGTAGACAGATGCCTGCAGGCTCCTCTTATTCCATGTTGTCCCGCTGTGCTGCTGATCTCCGCCTTGGATGTGCTGCTTTCTTCCTTTGAAGAAAACAGTGTAGCCGAGTGTGGTTTGTTCTACCGAGTAGCAATTTGGAACACGTAGTCGTTCCAGAGCCTAGTTGTTTTCGGGTTCCTTTTTGCTACCTTGCCTATCGTAGTACTGAGTTTGTTGGGTCTTGTAAGATGTGTAATCTTGTATCTTTTGAAGTCATTTATAATGGAAAGAATCTTGTCTTCTGAGTTGTCATTCTTTATTCTACTGATGTCCCGGTTGTTTATGAGATTCCCGAGTTCTTTCTATAAGGACCAGGTTGTTATGTTCCTTGTGAGGTAGCCTTTCGTTGTTTCATGGCTGATGAGTTCTTTTTGTAGCAATATGATAACTCTGCCGTTTTGCTGGATGGATAAGTCTGAAATCTGTCCATTGAACTATACCGTT